CTCTCTCTCTCTCTCTCTCTCTCTCTCTCTCTCTCTCTCTCTCGCTCTCCCTCTCTCTCTCTCCCTCTCTCCCTCTCTCCCTGAAACGTTTTTCTCTTCAAGAACAGGTGCAAATACGACCATCGTCGCAGGCTTGGATTCGGGTCCGGGGGCACCCTTGCCTGCACGACCAAAGAGCCTCGGCGGGAATATCAGTGGCCAGGCCTCACTTCTTGCCTTCGTTGCTTGAACGCCGCTCAGACACGACGGCTTTACCATGCACAGGGCGGAGATTTTCTCACCCGGGTCCTTCGAAGCTTACCCGCCACAGAGTGAAGTGGCCAATAACATGTCAACCAAGGAACCCAAAAATGGTAGAACCAACAGCCTAGACAAATCTATTTTCTTCCTCTCCGACGGTAGACAACGGTAGGCATCCGAGACAGGCGAGAGCCGACATTCCCTCTATCTCGCTCACTCGCTCACCTGCCCCTGCGGGTTCGCGCTCGTGGGCACGGACAGGTCCCGCAGCTCGAGCGGCTTGTAGGGGCCGTCGATGCCCCTCCGCTCCGAGGCAACGGGGTCCTGGCTCTCCAGGTCGTGCCATCCCCGGCTGAACCACCGGTCCTCGAGGTCTATCACGGTCTCGCCGATCAGCTCGTCCGCGCCGAAGCGGTCGTAATCGTACAACTGGTCGGGGGCACGGAGAGCGAGCGGGGCTGAGAGCTGAAGAGAAGAATAACGGAGCGGACGCTGGGGGCGGGGGGACGAGAGCTACAACAAAGGTGAACTGGAAAACAACGGTGTTGTACACCTACCTAGGAGCACGACGGGTCGATGCGTTGCTGCGCGCCGAGAGGCCGCTAACCGGCCAGGTACGAGCAAGAGGGGCGTCGAGGGTTAAGGCCGATTGACAAAGCGATGCATGAATTCGTCTCGTGAGTTGCAAATACGGTCAGAGAACCCGCGATTCTTCTTGCTCCTCAGACTCTTTGTGCCCTCGACGGTATGAGACGGGTAGGCTGACCTTGGTCAGAGACTCCGACAACAAGAAATTTCCGTTGGTAAATTCCACAACCATATCCCCGAGGCAGCAGTGACACTATAAATACCTCGAGCTATCATTAGCTTTGGCCTTCGCCGTATCATAAGCTCCAAATTGTCTGTATACACTCCTTTGTCGACTACTGGTTCGGTAGGGCAGGCTTCGTACCTTGAGCTTGAGCTGCGACTCCCCGGGCATGGTCACCTCGAACTCAAACACTCGGAAGAACTCTGGATTGAGGGTGGCCATCTGGATGTTGCTTTTGTCTTTACTATCGTCAAACCGCAGTTTCCCGACCTTGCGTTTCGTGCATGTTTTGTCCGCGTGTGAGAGGTTTTGGGTTTGGGGTGAGCATGAGCGAGTAGAACAGGCACAGCGCGAAGCACAGGCCTGCCTTCCTGTTGGGTTTGCATGCGTAAGCATGAGGCTCCTTCCAATGACGGCGATACACAGGCAACGTCTCGAGGGCTCAGTCGATCCTAGTTTGTGTATGCAAATCTACTACGTCATAGGGCTTAATGTTTCGTGGTTATGCATGTCTCTCTCCAACCCTCACCAGCATGCACGCACGTACGCACGCGCGTACGAACGAACCCAATCGCCCCATCACGCCATCACCCCCGAGCAAACCAAAGCACATACACGCGACCATTCTAAATAAAACCCGTTTCCCATCTCCACCTTGCAACGGAGATATGGGTCGGCAAGACCGTTCATGTCCTTCGGCTGAAGGTGCAACCCCTTGACCACGTACAGCCGACAAGCATAGCTCTTGGGGGCCCTCAGCAGCCGCATGTCGACGAACTCGCTTGACTCGGGATCGGGCGGGGATTCGGAGACCGCAACGAGCCCTTTCAGGAGGCCTACCTGCCGTAATCAACGTGAATTGCATCAAGAGTTTGGGGCTAGGCTGAGGGTTCATTTTGTTCAGGGGGGGGGGG